TATTGTTGCTTCTTCTAAATTATCCTGTATATCAATATTTATCACATGAACTATTGAATTATCTGATGGTGTTTTATTTTCCATATATTCTAATACTTGATCATAAACACGTTCCTCACATGTTATTAAAATATCGAATTTTTCTGTGCATTCTTGAAATTTTTCTGGTTTTGTTTTAATTCTTCTATTTCTATCTAATGTATGTAGCAAACCATTTTGAGTATATCTTTTAAACATTAAGGAAAAAATAGTACACTGTATACAACATATATAAATTGATTTGAAGAGGATACAAAGTTTTGTCTTTGCTGATTAAATCGTTGTATATTTCATCATATGAAACACCAAAATCATATATATTTGGTTTATCAGCAGCTGATCCTGGCAATTTCACTTTATCACCTGTTCCATAAGACTTAACATAGAAACCTTTTTTTGCAAGGAAAGCGTGAGCTTCCATGCTGCGATTCATATTACTTGAACATATAATTGCAATTCGTAAATTATTCATATCTATATCGTTATTGGCCATTTATTTTATTAGGTAGATATTCTAAAGAAAAAACGTTCACAATAAAATGCAAAGTATGAATCAATTTGAATACCGATTGAAATTTGAATCTTTATTGTTTAGAATGTATTAAAATAATTCTCTTGTCTTAATGAATCTACATTATTGTAATATTATTACTACAATTAATTAAATAGCAATTAAATAATCAAATCAAATAATGAATAACCTAAAATAAGTGATAAATGTCAAAAATTTCTTACAAAAAAATTGTTTTTATGTCAAAAGCTGTTGTCACAAATTACAGTATTGCCAAGCACAAATAAATTATCATATTATAAATTGTCGTTAAGTGACTTTGGTATACCTTAAAATTAATTGTAATATCATATAATATATTTCAGCCTAATTACTCGACAATTATTAATTGTACAAATGTGATTTTACTATACATCGTGCATATACTTTATTCCGCATTTTACACTTGACAACATTGAACATTTATTACTGTCAGAGAAACACGAAATAATTGTTGATGGTATTTTAAACCAACTAAAAAATCTGTTAAAAAAGTGAAAAATATAACATATGTTTGCAAAAATTTATAATTATATTACAAAGGTGTTATAAAAATTTAAGTAATATATGTTACATATTTTTGAAACGAATTTCATACAACTGCGAAACTAACATAAAATGTTGCAAATGGCGTTTGCATTGATTTTAAATGCATTTATTAATAATTATTTGTTTACTACAATGCGAATGGAAAAAATTGGTTTCTCATTCTTCGAGAAGTAATATAAAAGTGAGTACATTTATTTATGATAACGAACGCATTAAAAAATTTATAATTTTCATACATATGCATATTTCACTTCAATATTTCTTATATTTTACTATAAGATTCAGTTTCTGCGAAAAAGTAACTTAAAAATATGTACGATGTGATATTACATTTTTATTTAAAGTACTTTTTGTGCTTGTAAAATATACAGTATGGATTTTATAATTTGGTTGAAATTTCCTGTGCTTATAAAAAGTTCTGACATTTGTTTGTGATTATGCTGTTTGATAAACATTTTAATAAGCACATCAGTCATGTAAGGAAACCACGATAAGATAAAACAAAGTAGTAAAATTTTACTGATTTTCTTGTTTTTAGTGAAACTTTGATATCCTTGTATGATAACAGCAAAGTAGAGAGGCATACTTGTTATCAGTGTGAATATTTTTAATTTTATGTCATTCATATCACATACATAGTTATTCAGAAGGTTTTTGTTATCTTGTTCTGCTTTTGGAAATTCTATATGTGCATCAGAAAGATTTTTTACTTCTAGCACAATATCATAAATAGACTTCAAAATATCATTTACTTCAGTGAATTTTTCTAACTGTTGGTATGGTAAAGAAGTGTTGTTAACACTTGTGTTTTCATTGGAAGTAGAATTCGAGTAATTTCCTATGTGCGGGGTCATTACAAAATTATAGAATACAATAATTAACAAAATAGGTACAATCCAGCTCAAACCAAAAATACCAATTGCTACTAAAAAATCATTCCTTTTGAGAAAAATTGGGACTAGCTGTTTTCCTTGGCTGTTGATATATTTTTCGTTAATTTGTTCTGGTTGTCTAGAAATTTCCGTTTGTAATGATTCATTAGTTGTACTATTATTTCGTTTAAATTTTGGAGCCAGAAAATTTTCTGTTAAAGAATCATTTCTCTTTTCCTCTGAAAGGAAATTATTTTCAATCTTTTTAGGTGTTGTTTCATCTGAATCACATTCTATTGAGACAGAATTAACATTTTCTGTTGAATTATTATCTTTTGGATCACATTGTGTAGTCACTTTTACTTTATTCTGTTTTATGTCTTTTTTTGAAATACTTTTATTTGAACATAATTTATGCTCGTACTTTGCAGAAACGATTCCAAATACACTGTTTGCAAAAGAAAGTATCACTATTACATGTGGATAAAACAAATCTTCAAAAGAGCATTCAGTAAAAGTTGATTCGTTTTCATTGATGGAATCTGTTCTTATGAATTCTTTTGAATTCCTCCAAAAAAGTGGTATATCAAAATATTCTATTTTAGTAGACTTATTTAAATTCAGCATTTCACTCAATAAATTATAATTGTTATCAGAATACAAGTTATTTTCTGTATCTTCTTTTATTTTCTTTCCAAGTGTTGAGATTTTGTTTTCAGTTTGATTTTTTTGGAAAATCGAACTTATAATATTTATATAGTTTGGAGTAATATTTTCAATTATGTCTTCATTTGTATACTGCTCACTGGTGAAATTGTAAAAATTGTTTTCTGCAATAACTTCAAAAAATGGCAAAGGTGTTATATTAATGTGAAGTGCATGGTTTAAGTTTTCTAACAAAACCGGAGTATTTACTTTACCCATTACTGTGCTTGCATAAATGTAAACTGATCCAATAACAGTTGTAGCTAGTGTGTGAGACATTGAAAAAAATAGATATTTTCTGTCTACTTTTAATCGCACAAGCAAATAAAATTGTGTTAGCAGTCCAACTGTAATTAATATAACTCCAGTTACATAAAATGATTCAAACATTTTGTTTAAACAAAAACACCTTGAACTTAAAAAGTTAATTATATTCTAATTAAAAGTTGTTGCACTGTTTAACGCCACTAAGAGTGGTAGTTAAAAGATTTCATACAAAAAGTTTGAACTTATTTTCTGTTTGTATTGTAGCTTATCAATAACTGTGAAAATGCATAAGGGTAGGATAAAGTTATCGTTATATATTAAAAGGTTGTTGACCTATAACTAAGACTATAGTTACAATTAAATAAATTTATACTTTTTTTGTAACCCACATTTTTTAAAAAATTGTTCCTTTTTTGGAAATTAATGTTCTGCATTCATATATTATTGTTTTTTTTTTGTTTCAACTTAAATATAATGATGCGTAATGTTTAATAATTATTTACTTTTTCTAGGTTTTTTTAGTTGCAATTAAATATACTTTTAAAAAATGCCTGTTAGAAGAGCAGCTGATCCCATTTGCGTTCAACATGCATGGGATGCCGTTAGGTTTGCAAATTCGTCCCATTTGACGAGTAATTTATCTGTAATGGTAAAATATTTACAAAAAGTAGAAAATTGTACTGTAAATCAAGCAGAACTGCACATTAAGCAATGCCTTCAAGATGGACTTCTCATGTAAGAAAAGTACATTTTATTGAGTTAAAGAATCTTAAGTGGAACAGAATGGACTGTTCTTTTATTTTTTTAGATCACTACATAAGTTAGGTACCAAAGGCTCGAAAATCGGAGTTCCTGTAGAAGTATATAAAATTCCTCTTGAAGATTTTGAAAAAGTAGCTTTATATTATTTTTATCACATTTTTATTCGGTATAAATATTAATTTATGTATGTTTGTAGTCACGTTGCGACGATAAGGACTGGTACTGTATTGAATGTCACTTAGCGGGAGATGTCACTCCTTGTGGACGATGCCACCGAGTTTTCCATTCGGAATGCACTACCGTTTCCAAGAAAAAATTTAATGATTTTCAGAATATTTCGAAAACGTGCAACAATTACAATATAAAAGCGACTCTGGAAAATCGACTAAGTTCGCTTAATAGCTCCACTTCCAGCGTCATATCAGACGTAAGCTTGAACGATTTTGTCGAAGAAACAAACAAAATGCCGGATAAAGAAAATATACAAGATAACGAGAAGAATACCGATAGCGCTTGTAGTTTGGTTGGAATTTTCGAATCTTTCGATAAAATGGAAGACGATACTTTAGAAAACATGGAAAATTTAGTAGACAGTGCAATAGAGGACAAGGACAAAAAGAAAGATTCATCTCCTGTAGAAGTTGTAGAAAGTATTGAAAATAAAAATGAGACTGGAGTTACAAGTGATAATGTAGAAAACACAAATGGAACCGATTCAAAAGGGAAAAATGGTTATGATGAAAGCCTATGCAGAATTTGTAATTTATTTGATTCTCAAGAAGATGTATCCTTAGAAAAGAAAGAACTCAATTATCTGTTGATGTTTGTACTCAAAAGAATCAGATCCTGGGTAAGACTCAAAAATACATTAAAATTTATCTTGAAATTATTTTTATATCAAGTTATAGTTGCACAGTGCATATTATCAGATTTAAATTTTAGTATCATTTATTTTCTTCCATTAGATTCCAGCCTGTTTGACAGATAAAATGGCTCCGAATGAAAAACCTAATTGGTTAACAGAAGAGGAGGTCAAATGGAGGGTGTCACGATTATTTTATGAAAATATAGACATGTCCACAATAGAAGAAAAATTGGAATCTGAAAGTTATAGCAGGGTGTGCGAATTTATGGCTGATGTTGTAACTGTTCAACATAATGTGGCAATTTTTCACGGAAGTAAGTTAAAGCGAAAACATGCTAATTCTATGTTAAGCAATTTGAAATATATTGATATAAATGAAAATTAATTTTAATGTGGAACAATACTGCTTTTTTTCTATTTAATCCGACAGTTGTTTGTTTCAGTTGAATCGCAAGAATATGGCGCTGCTGAACTTATGTACGAGGACTGTAATTACGACCTGTCGGAATTACGAAATTGTGTCGACTGCTACCGACACAGTAACGAAAAGGGCAATAGTAAATGGTTTTCATTACCTTGCCGAGTACCGCACAAACTAGTTTGGGCTAAGCAGAAAGGATATCCTTATTGGCCTGCAAAAGTAAGTGAATTTTTTACCTTGCTTAGATGTAAAAAACAAAATGGGAATGTTAATTGTTTCAAAATGACTCCTAATTATCGAGTAAATAATCATTTTTATGTTTTTTGTAAATACTTTTGTTTTATAGGTAATCAAAGAGGCAAATGGCAAATATGACGTCCGTTTCTTTGGAGGAAATCATGAACGAGCTTTGTTACAAAGGGTTTTCATTAAACCGATCTCAACACCCATGAAAAATCTTCAGGTAATTAATTAACGTAACCTAATAATGTACAAAAAAAAAAGGAAGAAGTACTTTGTTTGAATTAATCGAATTTGTAAAAATGTAATTTGCTGTTTTAGTCGTATTAATACATAGATTAACAGAGAGTGTTACAGTAGTCGCTAATAATGTGTAACATCTAGATTCATTAATGAGCAAAATAATTTCACAACGTAAGCTGCATGACCACCTTCTCAAGTTCCGCTTATGCGTTTTCGCCGCATTCATAATATTACTACGAGTCTTTCATGCGTACATACCAAACAGTACGATGTTGCACATAAAAAATGAATTACAGTTAAAATTAAGGCAAGGGGGTCTGAACAAAATTAAAAACTGTGCATTTTGTATTATATTACTTGTAAGTCGAAAAAGACTGTTAGTTTAATTTTGAATGGTACAAAAAAGGTCACACATAACGATAACTAATTGAAAGACGACCTATAGATAATTACATTTATACTATAATAAATACATCTTCACTACGTGTTTATTATAAATCAAATCAACAACAAATTTATTTGCATGAATTTTTAAATTTCAGATAAAGAAGAATGCTGCATTTAATAGAGCTATGGATGAACTAATGTTTCATCAGAGGTTGATCGAAAATCCTAGCGAAGTGAATCTGTTAAATCAAAAAATTAAGACTGAACGAAGACCGAAAGAGAAAAAGGTGCCACTACACGTTCCTAGGCCGAGATCGCAAATGTCTAAGAAAGTGGAAAGCATGTCTCCGTCTGAAGATGATGTTTTCACGTTCGACGAAATGTGTGACGATTTTGAAAATAGTTTTGCCAAACGGATAGCTAAAAGGAAACTTTCTCGTAGTCCATCAACAGGTATTATTATAAAATTATTTATTTAACATAATTTGTGGATTAGGCTATTAAAGTAGACTTGGTGGTGTGGACATCGTATAATGGAAGCTTGGTGTGCAGGTCACTGTATAGAAACTAGACTCTAAATATCACTTGGCTCTAAAAATCGATGTTTCTCCTTTATTTGTGTGCAATTCCTGTAAATCTTCTATACATTTGTTACTTCCCCAGTTCTATTAGCGAGGGAGATGTTTTATTCGTATTTACCTATCCACTTTCTGCTTATAAAGCCTAAGCAATTTTTGTATTTAAAAATAAAAGTGTTTCATTCTTAAGCAAAGGCAAGCACAAATCAACTAGAATTAAATCTAAATATATATATGCTCCTCTTAAATACAAAAAAGCATACGATTGTATTAGCATTTTTTTACCACATAGGTTCAGTGAAAGCTGTGAAGAAAAAGGTACTAGTTTCTGGTCCTCCTGTAATAAGAAACCTACCAATAAAAACAGCCAAACGCTCTACCAGTGATGTTATTAACTTAACATCAGACGGAGACGAAGATGTATCCTTCAAGGATGATGACCAGTTTAGCCCAGGGTGATTTAAAAAATTCTATTTTCATGTTTATTTTGTGAAGAATACAAAAACAACATCATAATAAAAGTATGATAAATCTATGAATAAAAAATTGTATTCTTAAGTATGTGAATTTTCAAATTGCTTGTTTTAGTTTTATTTCAGTTTTGCTTTTACCGTAATTTAATAAACATTTCTTCGTTTTCTACGTTAACATCAATTGTATTAAAAGCATATATAAGGAAATTGGAAATTATTTTAGATATGGCGAAGTAAGTAGCTCGACAGAACATATCAAACTTTCCGAAGACGGTGTTAAAGAAGTCGGTGATGGTATCATGCAGCAGTTAGACAGACAATACAGCGAAGCGGTAGAAAGAGTAAGTAGAATGAATTTTTAACGCTATACGTTGTCATTTTATCGCTACTTTAGCTTTTTTTTTCACAGACCAAACAAAAATTAGAAAAGTGCAAGGATAAAAAGCAACTCATCAAAGTAGCTCTTGACAGTATGCAAGCAGAAATCGACAGAATAAATAACGATCATGACGACTATTTGAAGAAAATTTTTGAAGCTCATAATCAGGAAATTTCACAAACGAAGAAGAAGCAGTGGGTAAGTAGTTTTATTTCATTTATTTTCAGTACAAGGAATATATATATTTTAAAGGGATGGGGCTATCAGTAAAGTTAGGCGAGACCCATTCATGCTTTAAAATGCCGTTGTTGTAACTAATAAGTGCAATCAGTTGTAGAAAGAAATTTAATATTCATTTTTTTTTCTGAAAAACTTCATGACTAATTTTTATGGGTAACATATAATTTCAAATTCTGCGTAGGGACACAAAAAAATTAAATCTATAGAATCATTAGTAAAAAAAATGTATGTATTTATTAATACTTATAATTTGGTCTTTTTTACATTATTAGAACTGGATTTCACTAAAATTTTCTTTTACTTCTTTCGTTGGTATATTTTAATTAAAGACGATTTAGATCTATACTGGAATGCAACTACTAATTACGTGTAGAACACGTCAACATACAGAAACAATGTGAGACTCGATTTATTTAGCAATGGCCTATAAAATCGAATTTATTATTTGTCTTCATGAGTGTTTTAACAAAGTTTTCTTTTCAGTGTTACAATTGCGAGCAGGATGCAATTTATCACTGCTGTTGGAATACTGCATACTGCTCGCCAACATGCCAGCAACAGCATTGGCAAGCTGAACACAAGAAAGTGTGCCGAAGGAAGCGTTAAAGTATAAAAACTGAACTAAGGGAAATTATGCCAGAAAAGAAAAAATGTAATCATTACGACCATTTAGTCATTTTTCTCTATTTTAAACGATAAAGTGATTTTTAAAGCACTATTTGTAATTTACGTTTTTCACATAAAAGTAGTTTTACCATAAATGATCATGAAATAAAGGAAATATTTCTTGTAATTTAGGTAGACAAAAAACGAACACATTTTCAATTCTTTAAGTAGCCATTGACCAAATAATTTTATTATTTGATCGAAGTAAAAAAAATTCTTTTTATTTGAATAATTTGACTGTTCTTTTTTTAGCAAATCCTATTTGCAATTCTATATTTACGAATTATCATAGATTATTATTTTGTGTTCACTGTGTCATATTATGTGGAATAAAACTATCCTATTAATTTAGAGTTTAATTTTAGATACTTTTTACGAATTAATAAAAGACAATGCAAAGACACTAAATAAAAGACTAATGAAAGAATAGTTAAATTTATACAGCAGTTTGGCATAGACCTGTTTTCTATTCGTTCAAATGTCCATTAAATTGACTGGATTGAGGAAGACATAAGAAAATGCGTTATTGCAGTTGCGATTTTACTTGTTTATTCTTCTGCACCATTATAGGTGGTTTTCTAAGGTAATGTGTGTATTACATTTTCAATTATTTTGTGTGAATTGTTCTATTTCTTACTATAGGGATGAATGGAGGATTTTACAGGTTTGTTAACCCCAAGTTTACATGAAGATGCTGTAAACCAACATGGTTGGTATGTAAAAAATAAAACTTAATACTAATTGTAAAAGCAAATGCAATAACTTTTTTTATTAAATTAAATGTGAATTTGAGATGTTGGATGGTTTGCGAGTGATGGATCAATTAGTGCAGCTATGCCTACCTAGGGATTTAAGGGACGTTTAGTTAAAAATAGGTGTTGTGGGGTGCAAGCTATAACAGCCCATATCAAAAAGTATAGAAATAAAAAAATAGCGAATTTAAAGTCTCTTTTTGATGTAATTCCTGTTTTAGTTAATAATTCTTCATCATTTTTTTTTAATAATTAATGAACAATTACTCACATCATCTTCCATTTCTATTCTTTCCAATTCAACGTTTTTAAATGTATTTGAGATGTTATGTTTTTCTAAAAATTGCAAGTCTGCAGAAGACAACTGTTCTCCTAGCTGTCTCAATGCAATTAGGATTTCAGCCTGAAAACAAAATAAGCTGTATACAATGTGTACTATGCTATTTATCACTGAAGAGGTGGGAAAGAGATAACACAAAGAAATGGTTACCACCCTAGTGAAAAAAGAAAAAATTGAAACACACTCACAGAGACAAAAAAGCATTCTAATTACCTTTTGTCTTTCAAATCCATCAATGCTTAGCTTATTCAGTTTAAAATCATGTTCAATAATTGATAATCTTTGTTTTAATAACTGAGGTTCTTTTTTTCCAAAAAGTTTTATAACTTCTGGAGTATGAAATGCTTGAGAGATAGCAGCCTGTGTGGCCTATGAAATGTAAGTTTATTTTTAAACAACATAGTATTTAATATTCAAATTAATATATTTAATACTCAAATGCTTTTACCAATTGAATAGCTCCCAATTCACTAATTAAAGATATATCTCCATTAACAAGTTTTTTTAAACTGTCGTTCAATTCTCTCAATTGTTCAAGAGTTTCTTCCTTAGTTTCATTATATTCTTCTGGTTCTAAATCATCTCTAAAAGGAATAATGGAAAAGGAATTAAATAAATTTATCAACTAAATTCTATTGAGACAAAATTACTATTATTACTCTATCAAATGTCTTTTTACCGGCATTTATCTAAATCTGCCAATTGTTCCACTAATCTGTCTAGCTGATTACTTAAATTTTGTTTAAGTTTTTCAGTTTCTTGTTTTCCGAAGGAAGTCATTTTGGCTTAGGTTAAATAATGTTATGCTAAGACTTTAGAATACAACGTGTAACTAGATACGTTAATATTTTACTAATCATCACATTTCACTCTATATTTTATGGATATGACAGAAATGAAAAGAAAAAAGAATTTAAGAATGTTTGTTCTAAAAGTACGTATTTACTTCCAAAATTTTGACAGGTTTTTAGTAAATAAAACTGTCACTAGATGCTCTAAAGTAAAAAACGTGGAAGTCGCGTGTTACTCTCTATTAAACTAATAAATTTAAGTTCTGTTAAAGACAGTGACGTTTAATATTTTTGATATTGAAACAATCTGAAAACAAAAGTGCGCGTATTTACATAGTTTATTCCCCACGGGGGACTTGTGGACTCCTTCAAAAACATGTTTCTGAATTAAATATCCGCCATCTTGAAATATACCTTAACCTTAAGTAAGTTCAAGTGGTATTGTAGTGTTAAGAATTCCAAAATCCGTAATCATCTCTGTTAAAAAGACGTTTGAATAAGTGAATACTCACACGAGACATGAAGTATTTCAACGAAAGTGTCCTATCAGAAACATTCTGAACTTATGTGGAATTTAATAGTGAGTCCTCTGCAGCTTCTGTAAGGGTCTACGTGCCCCAGGGCTGACATGAGCGGGAATCAGAAGCAGACGTCTGGCGTTGTTTCCCAACCACAGACGCGTTATCCGCAAGGACCGTATCCTTTATAATTTTTTTAATTTTTTTTCTCAGAAACTTTATTCCTGTAAATTGTCATTATTCTTGTTATTAGTTTTCGTGTTTTTTTTGTTTTTCACAAACGCCCTTATCTAAATTTACTTATTGCGATTAACAGTGTAGACGTTCTAGTGGCGGAGCTGTTACGATCGGTAATTAAATAGATTTCAGTGGTATGTGACTTGTTTGTATAGTAATAGCAGTGTTGTACTAGTCAGTACTAGTGTGCTGGATAACTTTCAACATCCAGTTCACATTCACCTGCTTATGCAGAAAGTCAGTGGCGTTAGTCCATATGGTGCTGGTTTATGGTAATTGTTAAAAGTTTGTTTAAATGACACTAAAATTACCGAATTACCTATTAATTATTTTTTAATGCAACATATTGGGAATTAACACACAGTATTTTATCTAATGTTAGTGTATTTGACAAGTTATAAATTAATTAATGAAGTTTGANGAAATCGACAGAATAAATAACGATCATGACGACTATTTGAAGAAAATTTTTGAAGCTCATAATCAGGAAATTTCACAAACGAAGAAGAAGCAGTGGGTAAGTAGTTTTATTTCATTTATTTTCAGTACAAGGAATATATATATTTTAAAGGGATGGGGCTATCAGTAAAGTTAGGCGAGACCCATTCATGCTTTAAAATGCCGTTGTTGTAACTAATAAGTGCAATCAGTTGTAGAAAGAAATTTAATATTCATTTTTTTTTCTGAAAAACTTCATGACTAATTTTTATGGGTAACATATAATTTCAAATTCTGCGTAGGGACACAAAAAAATTAAATCTATAGAATCATTAGTAAAAAAAATGTATGTATTTATTAATACTTATAATTTGGTCTTTTTTACATTATTAGAACTGGATTTCACTAAAATTTTCTTTTACTTCTTTCGTTGGTATATTTTAATTAAAGACGATTTAGATCTATACTGGAATGCAACTACTAATTACGTGTAGAACACGTCAACATACAGAAACAATGTGAGACTCGATTTATTTAGCAATGGCCTATAAAATCGAATTTATTATTTGTCTTCATGAGTGTTTTAACAAAGTTTTCTTTTCAGTGTTACAATTGCGAGCAGGATGCAATTTATCACTGCTGTTGGAATACTGCATACTGCTCGCCAACATGCCAGCAACAGCATTGGCAAGCTGAACACAAGAAAGTGTGCCGAAGGAAGCGTTAAAGTATAAAAACTGAACTAAGGGAAATTATGCCAGAAAAGAAAAAATGTAATCATTACGACCATTTAGTCATTTTTCTCTATTTTAAACGATAAAGTGATTTTTAAAGCACTATTTGTAATTTACGTTTTTCACATAAAAGTAGTTTTACCATAAATGATCATGAAATAAAGGAAATATTTCTTGTAATTTAGGTAGACAAAAAACGAACACATTTTCAATTCTTTAAGTAGCCATTGACCAAATAATTTTATTATTTGATCGAAGTAAAAAAAATTCTTTTTATTTGAATAATTTGACTGTTCTTTTTTTAGCAAATCCTATTTGCAATTCTATATTTACGAATTATCATAGATTATTATTTTGTGTTCACTGTGTCATATTATGTGGAATAAAACTATCCTATTAATTTAGAGTTTAATTTTAGATACTTTTTACGAATTAATAAAAGACAATGCAAAGACACTAAATAAAAGACTAATGAAAGAATAGTTAAATTTATACAGCAGTTTGGCAAAAAAGGTCACACATAACGATAACTAATTGAAAGACGACCTATAGATAATTACATTTATACTATAATAAATACATCTTCACTACGTGTTTATTATAAATCAAATCAACAACAAATTTATTTGCATGAATTTTTAAATTTCAGATAAAGAAGAATGCTGCATTTAATAGAGCTATGGATGAACTAATGTTTCATCAGAGGTTGATCGAAAATCCTAGCGAAGTGAATCTGTTAAATCAAAAAATTAAGACTGAACGAAGACCGAAAGAGAAAAAGGTGCCACTACACGTTCCTAGGCCGAGATCGCAAATGTCTAAGAAAGTGGAAAGCATGTCTCCGTCTGAAGATGATGTTTTCACGTTCGACGAAATGTGTGACGATTTTGAAAATAGTTTTGCCAAACGGATAGCTAAAAGGAAACTTTCTCGTAGTCCATCAACAGGTATTATTATAAAATTATTTATTTAACATAATTTGTGGATTAGGCTATTAAAGTAGACTTGGTGGTGTGGACATCGTATAATGGAAGCTTGGTGTGCAGGTCACTGTATAGAAACTAGACTCTAAATATCACTTGGCTCTAAAAATCGATGTTTCTCCTTTATTTGTGTGCAATTCCTGTAAATCTTCTATACATTTGTTACTTCCCCAGTTCTATTAGCGAGGGAGATGTTTTATTCGTATTTACCTATCCACTTTCTGCTTATAAAGCCTAAGCAATTTTTGTATTTAAAAATAAAAGTGTTTCATTCTTAAGCAAAGGCAAGCACAAATCAACTAGAATTAAATCTAAATATATATATGCTCCTCTTAAATACAAAAAAGCATACGATTGTATTAGCATTTTTTTACCACATAGGTTCAGTGAAAGCTGTGAAGAAAAAGGTACTAGTTTCTGGTCCTCCTGTAATAAGAAACCTACCAATAAAAACAGCCAAACGCTCTACCAGTGATGTTATTAACTTAACATCAGACGGAGACGAAGATGTATCCTTCAAGGATGATGACCAGTTTAGCCCAGGGTGATTTAAAAAATTCTATTTTCATGTTTATTTTGTGAAGAATACAAAAACAACATCATAATAAAAGTATGATAAATCTATGAATAAAAAATTGTATTCTTAAGTATGTGAATTTTCAAATTGCTTGTTTTAGTTTTATTTCAGTTTTGCTTTTACCGTAATTTAATAAACATTTCTTCGTTTTCTACGTTAACATCAATTGTATTAAAAGCATATATAAGGAAATTGGAAATTATTTTAGATATGGCGAAGTAAGTAGCTCGACAGAACATATCAAACTTTCCGAAGACGGTGTTAAAGAAGTCGGTGATGGTATCATGCAGCAGTTAGACAGACAATACAGCGAAGCGGTAGAAAGAGTAAGTAGAATGAATTTTTAACGCTATACGTTGTCATTTTATCGCTACTTTAGCTTTTTTTTTCACAGACCAAACAAAAATTAGAAAAGTGCAAGGATAAAAAGCAACTCATCAAAGTAGCTCTTGACAGTATGCAAGCAGAAATCGACAGAATAAATAACGATCATGACGACTATTTGAAGAAAATTTTTGAAGCTCATAATCAGGAAATTTCACAAACGAAGAAGAAGCAGTGGGTAAGTAGTTTTATTTCATTTATTTTCAGTACAAGGAATATATATATTTTAAAGGGATGGGGCTATCAGTAAAGTTAGGCGAGACCCATTCATGCTTTAAAATGCCGTTGTTGTAACTAATAAGTGCAATCAGTTGTAGAAAGAAATTTAATATTCATTTTTTTTTCTGAAAAACTTCATGACTAATTTTTATGGGTAACATATAATTTCAAATTCTGCGTAGGGACACAAAAAAATTAAATCTATAGAATCATTAGTAAAAAAAATGTATGTATTTATTAATACTTATAATTTGGTCTTTTTTACATTATTAGAACTGGATTTCACTAAAATTTTCTTTTACTTCTTTCGTTGGTATATTTTAATTAAAGACGATTTAGATCTATACTGGAATGCAACTACTAATTACGTGTAGAACACGTCAACATACAGAAACAATGTGAGACTCGATTTATTTAGCAATGGCCTATAAAATCGAATTTATTATTTGTCTTCATGAGTGTTTTAACAAAGTTTTCTTTTCAGTGTTACAATTGCGAGCAGGATGCAATTTATCACTGCTGTTGGAATACTGCATACTGCTCGCCAACATGCCAGCAACAGCATTGGCAAGCTGAACACAAGAAAGTGTGCCGAAGGAAGCGTTAAAGTATAAAAACTGAACTAAGGGAAATTATGCCAGAAAAGAAAAAATGTAATCATTACGACCATTTAGTCATTTTTCTCTATTTTAAACGATAAAGTGATTTTTAAAGCACTATTTGTAATTTACGTTTTTCACATAAAAGTAGTTTTACCATAAATGATCATGAAATAAAGGAAATATT